TTTTTTTTTTTTTTGGTTGGTTGGTTGGTTTGTTTTGTTGGGTTTTTTTTCTCTTTTATTTTAGGAAGTTTAGAAGTTTTCTATTACTCAGTTTCTGGCCGTTGCATCTTGTCCTTCTGCCGGACACCACTGAGAAGTCTGGCCCTGTGTCCTTTACTCCTTTCCATCAGGTATTCACACACAATAAGATTTCCAGCATCCCAGGCGTTTCTTTTCCAAGCTAAACAATCCTCAGAAATTTCTGAACCTCTTCAGATTATTGTATTTTGGGCCCAGTCTTGAGAACTGGACTGACAAACGAAATGGATTTGGTGAAATGAAAAGTATACAAAAGGAGGTGTTAGAAGATCTGCAAGTAAAATTAATTGCACAGATAAGTTTAATTCATAACTTGAATTATGGAGATGCTTTATGATTCTTGGAAGTTAGAAATATTTTTAATGCTTTTCTACAATAACTGGAATAACTCTTCATAAAATAAATAAGAACTGGAGTGAAATGTGGAAAAAGGCTCTTAAGCTGTATCTTCTCAGAATGGTTATGGATAACGTTGGATCCATCTAGTTTGAATTATAGTAACATTTTCTATTGGGCTTTAAGGTACAGTTAATGTGGATAAGAATTGGGGATTCATAAAAATAAAATATGTTGCAAGATGTGTGTGACCCTGGCTGTGAGGAGGGTACTGCAGAGGTGGTGTCAGAGTGGATGATACTGCTGGTTTCTCCAGGACTGTTCTCGACAGTTGCTGACTGAAAAGTGACCTTTGCATAGAAAAAGGCAATGCCTGAAAAAGACAAAATTTAAAGGCACCTGTTACACGTGAGAGGCAGTGCTGAAGAACTGTGCAACCCTGGGAATTGGAATTAATGAACAAAACAGCATAAAGTGCAGCTTGTCATAAGTGTGAGTATTACAAAGAGCCTTTGCAAAAGTCTGGGAGCTCATTAGTTGGAAATGCAGAGCATTAGGAAGAGGTGATTTGATTTAGTTGGTTGCAGCTGAGTTTGAGCCATGAGACCAAATTAAACAAATAGGATCTGAGAATGTATTGGACTATTTTTATTCTGTAGAAGTTGTGTTGTTAGGTACTAAGAAGAGTTAATTTTAAATGGAGTATGTTTTTCTGGCTGATTAAGGTCAAAAGTAATGAATCCAATGTGGAACAAGTACAGAGAGATTACTCAAATTATTGGATGAATGGTGGCTTTGCTTATGGTGAAAAGGACTTTGTTCTGCATGGCTGAGCAAGCTGGACAGTGAGACAAGATGGTTGCAGTTTGTGTTCATAAGTGTGAAAAAGTATTTGAAATAAAAAGCAAAGTAGTTAAAGTGTTTATGGAAATTAAAAGTTCTGGAATTGTTCAATCTGAATGCTCCGTAATTTGTTTTTGATTTGTCGCAGTATGTATTCTGTGATAAGCTTTGAAAAAAAATGTAGTGAGTAGAGATCTAGTTCTTTATCAAGGTGATTAGCTTTACCCATTTGCTGCAGATATTGGTGTTCTTATCTGTGGTTTCTAGCAATATTTGATCAGTTCCCATTATTTTAATATTAGTAGGAATAAACTCTCTACTTAGTAAAGGTTTGCAGAGAATAGAGTCAGCAAAACCATAGTGGCAGTATCTGTGGAAGTCATTTTCTCTATGTAGTTGTGTAGAGAGAATATTTATAAAGCTATTTGTTTATTTTGTCTATGTTGGAAGTATTTACAAAACCAAGCAAAAACAAATTTGGCAAGAATCCTTTCCAGATGTGATCTGGAAAAATGGGTGGGAATTGGCCACTTATGTACTTTCAGATTCAAGCAGTTGATTATGTATCTGGAGGCCTGATCTCTTTATTTTTGAAAGAGAGCAGGTCATTAAAGAGACCAGCTCTTAGTTTTTGCAAAAACACAGGTTGTTAGTAGTTTAAGGCTCTCACTTTAAACCTGGTGTTCTGAGAAGAAAACAGAACTTCTTACAGAGCAAGGGTGTGTTGTTCAGGTTTTTTTGAAACAGCTGCTACCTACTGTTGCTCAGAAGAAAATTTAGGAATGGCAACTGTTATATTTTAGAACAAAGGAATGAATTAACAGAAGTTGTGAACTGGGAAGGGAAGGTTTGTTTGTTTACTATTTAGGAATTTCACAGGAAACTTCTGAAATAACATTATTAGTGATAATGATTTTGATCCCATTAAGTCCTGTTATTACTGAACAATTGGCATTTCAAAATGGCTGTAAAATTTTGATTATAAAAAAATCAAAGAAACAGTTGTTCCCTTCTTCTTGGGTCTTCCAGGAACAGTTATTTTCCTCACTTTTCTGTAATTGTTAATTTCTTTTACAGTTATCTTATAAAACTGCCAGCTTAACACCAGAATCCAAAGAGCTTTGCACTGTAAAAAAGCAACTGAAGTTTCAGAAAGTCTCTGAAGACTGTGGTGTTGTGAATCAAGGGGCTTTAATATATGATAGTCATAGATTGTTAATGGGAAAAGGGAAAATAGGAGGTGTATACATACAGCCAGCAGAACTTAAAAAAGCTGCTGGCAGGTAGATGTTTCATTTTCTTCATGTGAGCAACTGCAGTGCACTGCAACTAAGCGGTGCTGGCATTTTAGTCTCAGGAGGTGAGAAATGAAATTTTTTAGGCAGCTACAACTGGGATTGGTTTGTGGTTTACCCAGATGCCTTTGTAATGATTTAATGCTTAGATTCCTGTGGCTAATGAAGAACTGGAAGGCTCCTGTGGATGGATTAGGTGTGCACAGCTCTCTACAGCACATCATCTCAAATTCCAACACAGAATGTATGAAAGCATAGATGGATAATAGTTTTCCACAAGGGAAAATTTCTGATGCAGGTGTTAAGGGTATTTTTATTCATGAAGAGTTCTCAGAGATGACTGGTTTGAATACTGACAGCAGAGCATTCTGTGAGGCAAGAGAAGAACCAGTAAGCACAATTTGGTTTGTAGTTTTGTGATCTCTTAGAAATTATGTCCCTGGAAATGTTGGTAAGGGTTACTGTGCAGCTAAGGGATGGCTGTTTGTGGGAAACCACGAAGTGCCCTGGTCTGGTTTCCAAGTGGGAGATACATATATATATATACATATATAGATACATTCTGTATGTAATATTTAATAGTGTGTAATAGTACATTGTTCTCATTACATTGAAATTAGAGGAGCAAGTGGAAGTGATGTGGATCTTTTGCTCTGTTCCTTTAATGGCAAAAGAGTGATACAACCCCATGCCCTTCTGTTTGTTTCTCAAAACTTTGGATAAGAGGATGGATCAGTAAGATGTAAAGCAGAGGGAATTTCTTGGGGCTGGTGAAGTCTTGCAGTAGGTGCATGTAGAGTGTTTCTGCTTTGGGCTGATCTCACTGGTGATGTGTTTCTGGAATGATTATCTGAAAGCTGTGATGCTTTATAGCTGACTTTAAAGTACTGAAAATAGTTGTGTACTCTCAGTTTGTGCCAGATGATGATAAAAGCTCTGAGAACCGAGTGGGTTTATCTTTGGGTTCAGTCAGTCCCAGCTACCTGGTCCTCAAAACACCTCTTTCAGCTATGAAATTTAGATACCTCCAGAGAACCTATGTTCTAGGTTATCTTCCTCTTGCAGCTGTATGGGTTAATTATGTAATATTTGAGATGTGAGAGCAGAAAAGTATAGGGGAGAGGTGCTTTATAAGCTAAATTTAAATGTTAAAGGAAATGTTGTTTTAGTGCTTGTCAGTGGTAACCTAGAATTTCTCATTTCCCTCTTCAGGCTACTACACAGTTGGACTAAGTATAAACTGTGGTTTCATGCTTATTTAGGCATTACTGAATTCTTCTTGTATGAACCTTTTTCTATGTCAGTGATGTATTTCCACTTAGCTAGCATGAGTGTCATCTTTTAAAAACACAAGTCTTTTAAAGTATTATTTTTTTTTCTTAAGGGCAAGATTCTAAATAATCCTATCCTATCTTTCTTCATTTCACAACTATTCCCTCTATTTATGACTTTTCCAGTTTAATCATAGGATAGTTTGAATTGAAAGAGACATTTAAAGGTCATACAGTCCAACCCCCCTGTAGTTGTAATGTATGTATTTTTTGTTAGCTAGTGAGGCTCCATGCTTAGATGAAGAAGGTATACTGTGGAACTTACCATCTGTGCACTGAAAGTGAGAAGTCTGAGTAGCAGTAGGGGGCTGAATACTTGATAGTGGAGAAAAACCAAATGTGGCAGCGCAGTCCACCCAAATCTTATATTTGCATGTTTAGGTGAGCACTTGTGGCTTTTATGTGACTGCTCAAATCAAGAAAGCTGGAAGCAGGATGTGTTTTAGGAGTGAATGACTATGCAGCTGAGAGAAGAAGAAAAAGATAAATAAATCCTGATAGCGAAAACCTTGGCATCAGGGAGAAGGAGGAAGCATGGCTATTTATGCAGGTGATCCTTAGTAGGAGAAAATTGAGGAAGATTGTCACATCAAACAAAAGGAAGTAGTACTCTGTGCACTGAAGGAGATTAATGGAATCCTTAGGATGAGATACGAGAAAAAATATGAAAAAGGGATTCTGGGGTCTAGGAGGGAGCCAATTTCAAGAGAAAAGGTTAGACAAAAGGCTTGCTTTTATTGGTAGTAGTGTTTGATTTATTTGAAATCAATATTTTGAATAAAAAACAAATCTTTGTAATGATCTTTCATTCTGGATACTGTTTATTGGCAAAGAAAAAGAAATTGAGATAGCAGCATTTTCTGTTGCCAAATAGGATAAAACCCTGACACACAGACAGTGTTAAATTTGTTATTTATATACAGCAAAACATAAACATATCATTGTGTGCATAGAAGGGATTTAGAAAGAACATGACAGTTATGTAGGTAGAAAACGGTAGCTAGGTAAATCGGAATATGCAGAATTAGAAGTGTTTGTTGCCTTTAAAGATACCGCATTTTGTTTTAGTGTTACAAATATCAAGTGACTTTTCTCTTTAATTTCTTCTTAACAGACTCTGAAGGCAGATCCAGAAGAACTGTTTACGAAACTGGAGAGAATTGGTAAGGGGTCTTTTGGTGAAGTTTTTAAAGGAATTGACAATCGGACTCAGAAAGTTGTTGCTATAAAAATTATTGACCTAGAAGAAGCAGAAGATGAAATAGAAGACATCCAACAAGAAATCACAGTGTTGAGTCAGTGTGACAGTCCTTATGTAACTAAATATTATGGATCCTATTTAAAGGTAAGATACTCACAGATGGTGGCAATTTGATTTTACAAGTAGTTCTTTTCCAGGCTATCCAGTTCTGCCTGTTTTTGTTGGTGAGGTTTGTTAGACCTCGGTTGAAGAAAAATGTATTTTTGTTCTTTCAACTCTAAAGAAAGAATGAGTTACTGTATTTTGTGAAGTATGTGACAGAACTTAATAGGAAAAATGTCTGTCTGTTGCTATTTCTGTACAAAAAAAAACCTTTAAAAACATGAGTTTGTTGAGGTCTAGTATGTTTATATTCTCTTATTATTAAGCTAGTTAAATTCAAAAAATTCAGCCTAAGCCTGAATTGAATTATCAAAACATTAAAAGCAATTAATATCAATTGTTTTGTGAAGCTTGAAATTTTTTTGTCAAAGTTTGATTCCTGATCATTCTAAGCTCTTAAGCTGTCCTTTTGAGGAGACTGAACCTAGCCTTGGGGTCTGAGTGATTTAAAAATTAAAAAATCTGAAAGTAAATTATTTTGCACATTAGATATAGGTGAAGCTAATGATGGAAGGGGTTTCTGTAAACTGTCTTTTGAATCTGTTTCACTTTCCTCCCACTGCCATATTATTAATGTCAGGATTCAGTTTGAAGTGTGCCAGATAGTTTGCTCTTTTGTTAAGGTTTTCTTTTTTTGTTATTGTTTTTAATTGGATGGATGAAACAATTTATTACATCTTGAGGGTAGTGGCAGTATCTGGAAGCTTTTGGTATTATTTTATTCCTTGGGAAGGCTTTGTTCCTGTCCCAGAACAAAGCTCTTTCTTTTATGACCATAAGATGAGAATCTAGATAAGAGACTGTTGTCTTTGCAGGATTTGTAGTTAGAAGTAGTCAGAAAATACTTTAATTCAGTCTGCTTTTACTTTTGTATAAGTATTCTATTTATCAGCAAAGACATGAAGGTTCTGAAAGGGGGACCCTGCTTTATCTCTGTTTCTGAGATTGCCAGTTAATTTCCAAAGAAAAAAGGAGTTTTTCTGGATCTGGGAGATGCATGACTCAAGTGAGAGACAGATTTTCCTTCCTTCCTTGTGCTCTGAACCAGTTTGCTTGGATATCTTACCAGTGGAAGGCTTTGGTAATGATCTTTAGACTTGATAGCCTGTTACCAGACTTAGATGTTATGTGTAGGTTTGATCTCAGAAGTATCAGAAGGCAGTTAATCAATCACAGTAAATTGGATAAATTTTTCCCATGGCTTCTACTACTTTTGAAATTGCACTGTCAAGGATTGATAATTAAATGAAGTATGTCATCTGCACAGCTGTGCCTTCCTGGTCTGTCTGCTCTAAACAGTTGTAGCCCTGCTCTGTGACATTCTAGTTATGTGAGCTGTCCCATCATGTCTGGGTAGTCGCAATGAGATCAAAGCCTTGTGACTGCACACAGATCTCAAATTCCTGCTGCTTGTTCCCTATACTGCCTTCATTGGTGTGCCAGCACTTCACACGGGTATTTGAGTGTGTCTGTGTCTCAGTAGAGGTGGAAGGGAGTGTCATACAGTATTTTCCTCTTCTCCTGCCTTTCCTAGTTCAAAGCTCATTTTACCAGGTTGGCCATTCTGTTGGCAAAGGCTTGTGTGACCTGTTTCATGAGGTGGGTTCCATCTCTTCCTATCACCAGAGTCCTAAACCAAAACCTTGTAGCCAGCACCAGTGGTACAGCTGGTGTAAGTAAATGGATGTAAATCCATCTACTTCTCCTCTCATTGTTTTCCCAAACTGGCATAATCAAGGAGAAGACTACCTGGGCCTCCAGACCCTTGACCATCATCTCCAGAGCCCTGAAATTGGATGCGATAATTTCTAGTTACCCTTGGTGTCATTTCGCCCAAGTGAGAAACCAGCTAGGGATATTAGCTCTTGCAGGATAAGAAATAGAGTATAAGAAAAAGTCTGATGGGAAAGTCATACTAGTTTTAGAAGTGTATAATTACAATGAGTCTGAAAAAGAAAATCCAGTGTTCAAATTTGAACTAAGTGAATGTTGATGTTTTTTGAAGGTGTTACGGCAGTGGTTGCTTTTCCTAATGGAAGGTGAGAAGAGATTGTATGGCTCTGTACCCTGAATGAGTTTGTTTGGGTCCAAGTGTCAGGATGAATACTTGTGCTTATTGTTGTGAGGGGGACCCTCTAATACCTTCCACATCCTTTTTTCTATTCAGTGCAGTAGCCTGTGAGTTTTTCAAATTGTGTCAGCTTCCTAAGATACTGCGCCAGTACTGGCTGTGTGTGACTCAGTTACTTTTGCAGAGAGGTGCAGCTCTTTCTACAGTTAATAAAATGTGCAACTGCTCATGTACTCATTGCTTCAGTTCTTTGTAAATGTGTATTGTTTGTAAGACACTTGGTGCTACAGAACGTTTGGTCTTCAAAAGAAAAAGCTAATTTCTTCATGCTGTTAAAAATTAATGTGTGGTGGTTATTAGGTGATGCTGAAGTAGAAATTCTGTTTGCTTTCTAAAATAAGAGTCAGGTCTTGTTATCAAGATAGAGATAATGTGTCATCACTTATATATACACACATACGCACACAAAAGGGACTATTTTAATATTTAAATGAATTGCTTCATCTTGGCAGGTCTTAGTTGTATTTGGAAGCCAGGACTGCCATATGTAGTTCTAAGGGTCTGACCATCTTTTAGCTCTCTTTCTGACAGTGCAGATAATCTGTCACTGAGAATGTTCAACACATTTATTTTCCATGTGTTGAGTGATTAGGAGACATTATTTCTTCTGTGATTGGACAGTTTAACACTAATTACAAGAAAGATAATAATGTCTTGTCACAGAACAAACTTCTTTGAACTAAGCAAGTAAGAAAACAATAGGATCTCAGTTTATATTGCCAGCCGTTTCACCAGTTATCATCCTCTAGTTTGTGCAGCCTCATGTGTGTTGACCATGGTGGATGTTGGATAGAAAGAGGTACTGTTTATAGGGAATTCTTAATTTGATTTTCTGTTCATTATTTTGGAAGACATATTGAAAATGGTTTTGGAATTGCTATCCTTTCTCTAGGTAGGTAGAATAGTTTGGTCTTGAGGTTTTTAATATTTGTTTATTTTCTAATAAACCAAATAATCTGTCTTTGAGAAATCTTTATATTCTTTCTGTGTTATTCCATACCTTCTTCCATTAAGCTAAATGATTTTATGTGCCAGTGTGTTCAGGAACCTGTTGCTTGAAATTTTAGAAGACTTATATAATGCTGCTGTCCTTGCCTGAGACCTCTTGGTGTCTTGAGATAATGTGAGAAGAGCTTGTCAAGCTCTTGGTTCTGACTGCATGATATACATGCCAAGACAGCTTGAAATAACTATTACAATTTAATGAAAGTTACTTTGTTCAAGAAACCTTTTAAAAACACTGTTTAATTTCTAGGTTCTACCTAGGAGAGTGTAATATGCCCAAAAGCCTTGTTAAATTTTCTTACTCTGCAATTCTCTGTATATCCTAATTGAATATTTTGGAAATATGTTTGCTTTATAGCAAATTCTTCTTTCATATCCAGAGACTAAGCCATATCCGTTCATATTAAATAAGAAGCAACCTACTGCTCCCATAAAGCAAGTCTTGCTTTCCCTCTAGACTTTGTTCTGTGCATCTGTTGGAGGTTTGTGTGCAGTTGCTGTGGTCAGAGTTCATGCAAATAGAGCAAAAGCAATAGTGAAGTGGTATCAGTTTGGGTTGACATTCTGAATAAAAATTTATTTGAGGCACACCTTTTTTGTCAGAAATCAAGATGTATTTATATAAAACAGAAGTGAAAACGCCCTTTTCTAAATGCATTGTATGTTTAAATTCAATGGCTTGATGTTCCCATTCTATTGAGAAAAAAGGTTTTTGTCTACTGTAGGATATAGTAAGTAACTAAAGTTAAAAAAAAATGCTCCTAAAGTAAATTGCAGCTTCATAGTTTACTGGGGTGCAGATATCTACAGGGATTGCAGTTCCTTATCTGCCATGGCGTGTTAAAAACCTGTATTAGTGTTCCTTGCTGTCTTCCAAATGAAGGTTCGTCTGTTCCTCTATGATCTGATTAAATGCTCCAAAGACAGAAGAATAGTAGTTCTTTTTAGATCCTTATAGAATTAATTAATGAAACCTTAGATTTTAGGTTAACAGCATCCACATTCTTCCTTGTAATGGATTAGGGATTCTTTTGGTTTTGTTAAGTTTTTAAAAATTTCTTATCAGTTTGGCTAAAATTTGCTGCCTCTTTGGAGTTTTGCTATGTTGGAACTCTTAGGAAGTATTGCTGTGCTACTTGTTCTAAAACTTTTTCAGTCTAGAAGCTTGTCAGCTCTGCTTTTTGCATCTCATTCTACTTTTCCGATTTTTCAAGAGCTGAGTTAGATTTGGTTCTATGGTTGTTTCTCCTATACTTGTTTTTTGAAATGGGTTTTATTTTCAAGATTCAGATGTCTCACTGGTAATGTTTCTTCAGTTTTATTAATAACATTAAATATGGCTTTATTATAACTTAATAATGTTTTTGTATTTCTTGTCTTATTATTTAGATATATATGAGCAAATTAATTTGCTCATATATTTAAAATATTGTAGATTAAAGACCCTTGACTTTTTTGCATGTATGTATGTGTACAATACACTCAAAGCTTAGATTAATAAGTGTTTATGGTAAAAGCTGAAATCAGTGTGTTTATATGTATGTAGATGTTAAAAATCCTTTCATTTCCTCATCTTAGACTTCTGTACATATGTATGTAATGGCAGAACAAATAATTTATAAGTAATTTCATCATCCATTATAACTAGGTGCAAATGATATCAAACTGGTATTGAACTAGTTTGTAGTATGTTTTAAAAAAAATATTGCTGTATTTTAAAAAAATATTGTTGTGTCTAAGCTTGTATTTCTTCATCCTTCAAATATATTTTTCTAGCATACATTAGAGCTTCAGAGAATACCCTCTTTTGAACTGTTTAAATTTACTGACCCAAGAAGAATAAGAC